GCTTGCTTGCTTTGCTTGCTTGCTTTGCTTGCTTGCTTTGCTTGCTTTGCTTGCTTGCTTTGCTTGCTTTGCTTTGCTTGCTTTGCTTTGTATGCTTGCTTTGCTTGCTTGCTGGCTGGCTTGGCTGGCTGGCTTGCTGGCTGGCTGGCTTGCTTGCTTGCTTGCTCGCTTGATTGCTTGATTGCTTGATTGCTTGCGCGCTTGCGCGCTTGCTTTGCTTGCTTTGCTTTGCTTTGCTTTGCTTTGGTTTGCTTTGCCTTGCCTTGCCTTGCCTTGCCTTGCCTTGCCTTGCGTTGCCTGCTTGCTTGCTTGCTTGCTTGCTTGCTTGCTTGCTTGCGTGCGCGCTTGCTTGCGCGCTTGCTTGCGCGCTTGCTTTGCTTGCTTTGCTTTGCTTTGCTTTGCTTTGCCTTGCCTTGCCTTGCCTTGCCTTGCGTTGCCTGCTTGCTTGCTTGCTTGCTTGCTTGCTTGCGCGCTTGCTTGCTTGCGCGCTTGCTTGCGCGCTTGCTGCTTTTCTCACGGTGTTTCCTTGCCAAGACATGAGCGCACTCAACCGTAACAGACAAGCCCTGCAAGACTATCGCACCAGTTCCGTCAATCTAAAGTCAAACAGATTTTGTTTTTCGGCTTCGCTGGAACAATTCAACTTGGGAAGACTGGGGCTTTTGCGGGTCTTGCCTCATCCGTTGGTACAACGCACCAGTCTGCCGGCCGGATGCAACCCCATGCCCGACCGTTTGGTAGGAGGTGTGGAGGCTCCGGGCCCGCGACAATGTTGAGATCCTACAGAACTGCGACAAGCCGCTCGGCACAGGTGTTCGGGTCATGTCCGGAAATGACTTCTTGCATTTGGACCATGCGTTCATTCACATATATCAATGATTATCAATGTAGTTATATATCTACAAACTGCTCTCTAGCCTTCCAAGGCCATTGAAAGAAAGGTTGAGATTGTTTTGTAGCCTAAACTCCTTAGTAAAACAATGGTTGTTTAGTTTGGATAAAGGCCATTAAACCAATGGTGGACCAGGAATCCTGAGGAAAATGTATATAGTTTGCTGAAGACCCTGACCGGCAGTTTTTGGCTAAGTCTCGAAAAACCTTTGCCTATGCAGCCTGGATTGCTGACGCCTGGGTTGGTGAAAGCAGCTTGGAGTGACCGCTCGTGCGGGGGTTTTCATCATCTAAGGCCGACCTCCCGTTTGCGTTTTTTCCTAGACAGTGCATAATGCTTGAATTTGTGGGGTGGCACCGCTATTTTGAACAAGGGACTTGTACAAACAAGGCCGCCGCCTTCTTTCACACAAACATGTATTTGTGCAAAGCTCAGCCAACGCAAAGTGTAAGTTCAGTTGGGTAATCCTAGGTCGAAACTAACTCAAAGCCAAGTACCTACTAAGTATAAGTATTTCTATATTAATCTAAGTTGGACTTGGCTTAACTTTGGTATGTTGCAAAACGTCTCCACATGGTGTCCATCCCAGCATCAGCACTTCACCCCATGTCACTCTCATAAGCACCCATGTACCCTTTGAAATTCTTTGTATGATGTCAACCAACCTCGGCCAATTGAGTGTCAAAAGACAAGATCGAACGATTCCTTCCCCTCACACCTTCTTCTCTTCGGACTGGGCTGAAGACTTGAGATACCTAGGCTCACTGATCTCTTTCTCCGGTGTCTCTTCTCCCGTGTCGCGCTCCTCGCTCCTCTCCCGCACAAGCCCCGAGCCGACACCGAGGGCGCTCCGGCGGAGGCGGAGCCGGTGCCCGAGCCGCCGCCCGACGGAGAGGATGTCCAGGAGATTGAGGTGATCATCGCGCAGGCGGACTGCAGCGGACTGCAGCGGGACTGCAGCGGTTGGTCAAAGCGGGGATGAGGACGCGAGAGGGGAGAGGGGTTGGGTGTTTCCAGTTCCAAGATTTCGAGATGAGGTTCGGTTGGTCAAAGCGATCTTTCTTCTTGTTGATGGATTATATAGAACGGTTTTTGATGTTTTTGGTGATCACCTCTAAGGTTGAAGGGCGACTTTTGGAAGGGAGGTTGCTAACGTATGCGAAGCTCATTTGGCCTTAATTAAATTTTCAGGGTTTGTCATGAACGTGCCCCGGATTTGAATCTGCACATGATTTGATGTCAACACGCTTTGGAATCTTGGGTGCTTAGAGACGGAGGCCTTTGAAAACCATGGCACCTCATAATCAGTCCCACCTCCTATAAAGGCACTTGTTACTAGAAGCGATGCGCTTGTTCCTAGTAGCGTCCTTGTGCTACTAGTAGTATACGAGAAAATCGGCAAAAGGCCAAAACCAAGTCGCGGGGACCTTGGTCGAGACAGACCGCTGGCTAAAAGCCACTCCTCCCCCGCTGACGGATCACAATCGACCGGTGGTTGGACGTACCATTTGTTCCGAAGACCGGGCGGTAGCAGGGGTTTCCATGTGGTTTGGAATAGGGGAGTAAAGAAGAGGAGTGACCATGTGGACCATGTCGTTTCTTTTGGTGTTTTGAAGCACATGGAATGTTCAAATGAGGTGGTGTCAGGTTGTTTCTATATCCAATAATGAGCAGCTCCTTCAATGTCTCATTGCAACCCCGCAGAAACGTCGCTTCCATTGACTGCTGTAAGAGTCGGTGGGCGTTTTCGCAATCACATGACCAACCTGCCGCAGGGCACAGACAATGAAGCAGAGGCAGGAATTGGGACAACGGCAACGCTTGAGCACCGCACTCGAGTCTAATGTTGATTGCTGATCTACAAAGAACTTATATAATTACTTGAATCGTCCAACAGCTCCATCTGAGGTGCTTGAATCAACTACTGAATCAACTGTCAGCATACAGGTCGACACATGTGAAGGTTATTGTAGACCCGTATACGCGGTGGACGCCTGGGACCTTGTAGGGTCTTTCCTGGTGCAGTTTCCCCCAATCTTGCATCAATTCCGCCTGAGGCTATTGTGTGTGACTGTCAGGTTTGCCTGACACATGGAATCTCCTGACACCAAATCTCCCAGCGCATCGTCCGCCATGACGCCAATGCTTCCCTCCGATGACCAGACGAACCGAGCCGCCTTCGCACCGAGCCGGGTTCGGCTAGTTCCGAGGCAAGTATGCATTCCATAACCACAAACTGGGCCCGCGGATCGTATAAACTCTAACTGTTTTCTCCAAGTTTAGCTTGTTGGGACGTTGCTACTGCTAAGCGCATGAAACATCATAAAAGTCTGCAGCAGGTGAGATCGATGAAACCCTAAAAGGGTCGGAGAATTGGCGATGTTGTGTTTTTGTTTGATATGTGGAGAGAGTTGTGAGAGTATGTGTGCCTTTTTAATTGAGATTTCTTGTATCAAGCCTTTAAGTGGTGCACTCAATGAATGTTGCTGGTGGATTAAACTTTTGGCAGATATAATGGCAGCTGAAGTACCAAACTACGAAACATATTGCACCGATGTTTGTGTTTGAGGTGGTAGGCCCGGCTAAAAGTGAGAGGCGTGAAAGACCTGTGGAGTGTCGCAAGGCATACATTGCATTAAGATTGAAGAGCGGCTTTATGTCAATGATTTCGCCAACAACACTACTAGGTTGGAGGCCATTAGGTTGGGGGCATCGCTATTAGGTTGGAGGCCATCGCTTCTAGGTTGGAGGGCAGAGAGGCCTTAAACACATGTATCAACATCGGCAACATCGCTGCAGGACTCGGACGAAGAGGAGCCGCGCGAAGAGGATGTGTCCCAAAGCAGCGATGCTGCAAAGGAAAGCTCCCGGCCAAACTCAGCAGCGGAAAACTCAGCGCCAATCGCGACAGTGACAAAGCCAACGGCTCGGGTTTTGCCGCCCTGGAAGCAAACACCGCCCAGTGCAGCCCCCAAAGCGACTGCAGTGCCCAGTGCAGCCCCCAAAGCGACTGCGGTGCCCAGTGCAGCCCCCAAAGCGACTGCGGTGCCCAGTGCAGCCACCAAAGCGACTGCGGTGCCCAGTGCAGCCACCAAAGCGAGTGCGGTGCCCAGTGCAGCCACCAAAGCGACTGCGGCCGTGCCTTTCCCGAAAGGCAGTCAGCCGAGCACGTACATGATCGGGGGGCGCCAGGTGAAAATTGTTGCACCACTGACAGCGGGGGTCGTCGAGGCACCAATCCTCTCAGGCTTGACTGGCCGTCAGCCTCGCGAAAGGATGGCGCTGCAACCTGCCATGACGCCAAGTCCTCCCCCACCACGCCTGGCTGGCATCACAGAGGAAACCGAGGTCCAACGATCCAGGCCTTGTCAGGTGATGCCAGTGGGGCGTGTGACGATGGAGGCGACCGAGGAGGAGAGCGAGGATCGCCTACTTACCGCAGTCGTTGTGGTGTTTTTTTGATTCACTGGAATGCAAGTTCAAAGCATGAAAGCATTGGGTCTCACGAGGTCAGTTTTGGGCATCCAACCTCATCCGGCATCCAATTCCGATGTGTAGACTCCGTTTTCTAAGTCCCGGCAGCCTGCTGCTTTCAGCCGCTGGCTGAGGATGAGGCTCCACAGCCTAAGTGGCAAGCCTTGGTGGACAGATTGTCCAGCTGCATCCTAGGCGCGGTGGAGAAGCCAAGAGCTGAAGCGCCTGTGTTGCGGGAGGATCCTGAGCTGATTTGAGAACGAACTAAGAGCGTAGAGGCCAGCGCTATTAGCTTGGAGGCCATCGCTATTAGTTTGGAGGCCATCGCTACTAGTAACCAGAAGCTACTAGGTGGAGGCCATCGCTATTAGCTTGGAGGTCATTGCTAAGACCTCAGCCGAGCCCAGGGAACCCTCCCCAGTGCGTGGGACGCGTGCCAAAATTGGGGGGGGGGGGTCATGCATGCGTGAGCACGAAGATCCGGCCCATTGGCGTAGAAAGTCGCATGAATGTGACACAAACCAGTCCAACAACACCCTAGTGGAGGGCGATGTGTGATACACGCATATTGATAGATAGAAGTTGTGTCACACGCGCATATACTAATGTATATATATATATACATATATCATACTTATACACATCTCTCACAATGTGACTAACTATTCCATGCATGGTCTTTAGTCCGGCAGATGCTTGCATTTACGATCTTCATGTTGCTTCGGTCTTGCCCCTTTTGGTCTCCTGCCCTGGGCGGGGAAGTTGCAGAAATGGGCGTCTCTGTGAGACGACTCCGGGACGAGTCATGCCCACCAGACAGATGATGTGCTTCAGGCCTGCTTCGGAACCTGTGTTTTGGAACCATGCGCATCGCCAAGAGCACCCGTATACCTCAAGTACTTTTGCAAGTGGTTGGAAGTTCTTCAGAAACAAGCATGGGATGCAGGAGGTCCAGGTTGAGGCAATTTGGGCACAAAAGTCGGCCCCACCTTCGAAGTACCCTATCGGTGGTAATCCAGCACGGCTATTCCAAGATGCTGGGGTGACAGCACCAAATGAACCAAAGATCGTACAAGGCAGGCCATACGGACTGCCCCGAAAGAGTAGGGAAGCCTATGCAAACAGGGTGATGGCCGATGACCTGGATCAGTCAGGGCGAATGGCCTATTCAAGCTCCAGGAGTTTTCCCGCACCCGGTCGGGACCCTGGTCCCGACCATGAGGAACGTTCCCCCCCCCAGGAACCCCACCGGCAGCGATCACCGAGGATTTGGTGCCCGAGACGCCAAAATTGCGGAGCTTGAAGAGCTTGAGCCTCTCGGAAGAGGACGGCCTCCGCTAGAACTGGTGCCTGCTTGGTGGATTGCATGCCTTTGATAGGAGTTAGTATATTCTATGATGTACTGTATATGCCAGTAATTAAGGAGTTAGAAGTGGAGAACACAGGCAGGGTGACCCTTTTCGTCAGAGTGGAGTGAAATCACGGAGCTTTTGTGGTCGACACAGTGGACCTCCCCAAGACGTTTTGAGTCCCATCCAATGAGTGGATGTTCTGACCACCCCGACATGCAATAAGCACCTAATAAGCATGTTTCTTAGCTGCTGCGGAGCGCAGGTCATGGAACGCTCTTGGTCTCATGTTGTTCCATGACGCTCTCTCAGATCATCCTGATGACCAGGGACGTTTGGATCTTTATACTATTTTATACTCAAGTGCAAGTGGGCTACATTTTTTTTGGAGTAGTAGCACTAATCACTCATCTCAAAGGATCTCAAAGGTTGTAACACATGGAGGCCTGTTTGAAATGCTTGGACATACGTCGAATTCATCGTTCTCAGTGCTTGTCCATTCTCCCTTTGGCCTATGTTTGGCATGGTTTTCAAGGTGCCTTAGCATACATCGTGATGCATTGCAATCGAACATGCGAACGGTTTTTCTTTGCAACATGATTCGTTGTCCATGTCTATGATGTTTCCCTCTGGCTAGCCCGTAATAGGCATAGTCAGGCCTCGTGAGCGAACTGCCCAGCCCAGCGGCGTAGGAACGACCCCACACACCCAGCCCAGCGGACCCGACGAAGCGGACCTTTAGAGCCAGGAGCGGATCCAGATGGCCCTGGCCGACCTCTACTTGGGGGTGCCAGCCTGCATCTCCGCCTCCAAGTCGGAGCTGCAAGCTGTAGGCGGGTGGGTGAGTGACGGAAACTTCAGCCTGGAAGCCATTCGTGGGCCAGTAGGAGGGTGACTTTGTGAGAGGTACGGCATGGTACGGCCAGTAATGGCTATAGTTGCCAGAGTCTTGGGTGCCCCTTTTACTTTTGCCTCGCTGAGCCGCTGAGCAGTTGAAAATAACGATGCGTGCTGTCCCTTTGGCTCGAGATTGGCAGGAAAGGCTCAGGGGGGCTCCGAAAACGCATCCATGGGGACCATAAAAGAGATTATATAATCTTTGAACTACTGGACTGGTTGCTACATGCATGCAGCTATGCATCAAAAGATCTGAAAGGGGTCCGAACTTCTCAGCCAAACCGCCCAGTCCTTTTCAGACTCTGGGGGGAGAAGAGATTTTTCACAACCGAGGAGCCAGGGTCCAACCAACGGAGGTGTTTTGTCCACCAAAGATCGGGTGATTTTGGAAGATGTTTGTTTTGTACCAGCACCCCATGGTTTTTAGAGTGCCCCCCCGAAATGGCAAACATGGAGACTTCAAAGTGACAGGTGGTTTTCTCTGTTGAGTCGGGCCATGGGCATACACACAGAATATGGTCCGTCGTTTCGTACGTTAAAACGAGCATGGTAGTAATTTTCATTGCAGTGTTTTGGCTTCAGCGTATGAGCCGGCTGGAGCACAATCTGGCGGCGTGCAATTGCCGCATTTGCACCCTGCTGACGCGGCTGGCGTCGGTGCTACTAGGCCCTGGATCGCGAGACGAGGTCCGGGACCAGGCGGCGCCGATCCTCGAGGCCGCTTACACGAGAGTGCTTGAGCGGGCGCTCTCGGTCCAGCAGAGCGGGAGCGGGGCTCCTGGATCCTCCAGCAGAGGAGGTCGGGAGCCAGAGGCTCCTGGGTCGGTGGTACAAAGGCGTCTGGGGAGCCAGACACCTCAGGGGCTGGTGAAGCCCCTCCGCCTGTAAAAGAGGAGGGCGGAACAGAGAGCAGAGGGCGAGGTTTGCCACCCTTAGCCCGACTGCGAAGGACAGATCGTCGCGACGGAGAGGTTACCACTACCGAGACAGAGGTCAAGGAGGAGCAGCAGTCAGACAAGGAGACACGCAAGAAGAGAGAGCCCTTGGTCGACGTCGAGGAGAACAAGTCAGAGTTAAAGAGAGAAAAGGAGAAAGTCCGTGAGAAGGAAGCCAAGTCGAGATCCAGCAGGAAGGAGAGAAAAGAAGACTCTAGGCGTGAGCACAAAGAGCGAGGTAGACGCAGGAGATCACGTAGCCGGACGAGGAGGAGAGAGAAGAGACGCAGGCCGAGAACGCCATCGAGAAGTCCACCACCGAGAACAGAGGCAGCAGAGGAAGGCGGAGAGAGTGAGGAGTGTGAGCCGGAAGGAGGGACCACACCAGGAGAGGCAGAAGAGGAGCGGCCTAAGCCCCGGGAACCACCCGGGCCCCCTCCTGGCTTCGGGAGGGGTAGGTGGACTGATCCGACTGGGGCCTACAGCAACAAGCCAAAGAAAAAGAAATCTAAGGGCAAGAAGCACACCTATAGAAACCAGGAGTATTGGCGAAGAAGGAGAGAGCAGCAGAGGAGGCAGAGGATATGGCGCCCAAGCGGAGGCCAGCGGCCGAGGCGGCGCGGCGCCGGGTCTTGAGAAGGCCTGCCGCCCCAGACGGGGAGCTGGAGGATCCCTGGGTACAGGCCGACGAGGTCACCCTGGCGCAGCTGGAGTCATGGCCTTTGATTCGAGTGCAAGGCGAGTATTGGGAGGAGGCCACCGACTGCATTGTCGAGATGATCGAACTAAAGGCAAGCCGGGGAGACAGAGAGCTCCTAGCAAAGGCAGTGGGAACTACGAGCGAGGCGTTGCTGAAGTACATCAGTGGGGTGGCCTCCAAGGCAGTTCGTCTTCATCTATGTGGAGCACGATGCGACCGCCGGACGTGGGAGGATGGCCTCATGCATGTCACGAGTATCAGACAACACCATCCAGGAGAAGTGGCATGGGAGAAGAACTTGGAAAGCAGCAGGGCCGAAGTCGAGAGAGACGAGCTCGAGCGAGTGAGAGCCGAGGCGGCTGCTCGAGGAAAAGGCAGAGGAGGTCTGACAGATCTACGAGGAGACGATGCAAAAAAGGAAGGGCCTGGGACTTCGGGGGAGTCCGACGAGAGGAAGAAAAAGAACAAGAAGAAGAAGAGAGCAAAGCTGAGGATCGACAGCGTGAAAGATCACAAGACCCTCTTCAGCAATACAGGGATGGATGCAGACCCCATCAAGCGGAGGAGATTCAGGCACCGTGCAAAGAAGCTGACAAAGAAGGGGCGAAACAGGGACAGCTCGTCGAGTGGGAGTTCCGAGACGACAGACTCCTCCAGCGATTTCGACAAGAGCGAGGGCCATTTCGGAGAACTGTTCACGCCTCAGACCAGCACCCAGAGGATCTGGGAGCGATGTCCAGGTGTCTTGACAGCTCAGTTGCTGCAGGATGCACAACGCAGCATGCTCCTCCAGATGGGTGCAATGGCGGGCACGACCGAGCAGCTGCAACCACTTACATCCCAATACGTGAGGCAACAGATGGGATCAGCCATGTCGCCGGTGATATATCGAGAAGCTATCCATTGGGCCGCAACCCTGGACCTGATGGTTCAAGGCAAGGTGGCATCCGCCTGCGACGTGATGTCCCAGAGACTCAAATCGCTGGAGGCTTTGGACAAAGGAATGAAGGTCGACTTGATAAAGCAGCTCGAGTTGATTCAGGTGGAGAACTATGGATTGGCGAGCTCATCGGAGTTACATCAAGCGGGCAGAACCGCTCACGAGGAGAACAAGATCTATGGCAAGTCGACAGGGAAATACCCAGATTACAAGGACCGCTACAAAGAGAAGGGGAAGAACAAAGGAGAGAAGGGAGAGAGCAAAGACAAAGATCGCGACAAGGAGAAAGGCAGGAGAGAGAAAGGCGATGGGCTCCAACAAGGAGACCCTTCTGGATCGGCGCAACCCTTTGTTCCCACTGCGCACGGTGAGGATGGAGGGGCTTGAGGAAGAAGGGGCTCCGCGCCGGCTGACGGAGGAGGCTACACGTGGGGCGTTCATGGCCCTCAATCATTTGGCTGGATTTGGGGCATCAGCGCCTGTGACGGTTTCCTCGAATTCTCCAAGGTCGAAGGCTCACGAAGATGAACCTGGACTTCGTTCGAGAGCGGAAAAAAGTGTGTCGCGACTTGTGCATCGTAATCACATGTGGGGTGTGTCCGATGGGTCGATTGATTTTGATTCGTTTTTCAAGGGACGTGGGGTGAGTTACCAGGGTGAAGAAATCAAGATGGCGCAGAAAATATCATGGGAGGCCGTCAGGCAATCCTTACCGGAGGGGGTTGGTTCGTTGCCTTTGGTGGATTTTTGCCGGTTGGGGACTTTGGCATACATCCAGGAGTTTGAACGATACTTGGTACCAGAGGAGGCTAGGACCTATACTACTCCCCCCCGGGTCATGGTACAGGAAGGACAGTGGGAGCTGCTGGCAGCAGGGCTCCTGGAGCGGGGGATAGCGGAAGTTATGCCCCTGGACCGAGTGTATCATCTGAACGGGCAGCCTGTGCTTAATGGACTATTTGCTGTTGGCAAGGGGGAGTTTGAGAACGGCATCAAAACACAGAGGCTGATTATGAATTTGACACCGGTGAATGCTTTGTGTCGACCCCTCGCGGGAGACGTAAGCACTCTACCAGCCATTTCAGGCATGAATGGCTATTTGCTGGAAGACGGAGAAGTGGTGCTTTTATCGAGCGAGGACATCCGGTGTTTCTTTTATTTGTTCTCTGTACCTGATGCATGGAAAGCATATTTGGGGTTTAATCGCATGTTGCCCGAGACCCTGGTGCCTGAAAGATGGCGGGGTCAGTCATGTGTTCTTGTTTCAAAGGTGCTTCCCATGGGGTTTGTGAACTCGGTCTCGATCGCCCAGCACATCCATAGAAACGTGGTACGCCTCAGTGCACAGCAGAGTCATCCTGCAATTGGTGGGGAGGGTGAAATTTGCAAGGACAAAGGGTTACCTAGTTCGGACCATTTGTACAGGACCTACCTTGACAATTTCGACTGTTTGGAACGAGTTCAGGTGGACCTGGCAGAAACGATCAAGGGAACGGTGGCCTCGCAGGTTGAACAACTCCGTGAAGCCTATGACAAGTTGGGACTTCCTCGTCACCCCAAGAAGGCAGTCCAACGTACTGGGGGAAATGCAGGGAGCCCTGCTTGATGGCGAACAGGGTTTCGCCATGGCAAAACCCACCAAGGTGGTGCAGTACTGCCAGTTGGGCTTTGAACTGTTGATGCGGGGCGAATCGACCCTGAAGGAATTGCAAGTGGTGTGTGGAGTTTTGTGTATCTCTGCATGTTTAGAAGGGCCTTGCTTTGTTCACTGAATGCTGTTTTTGAGCACATGAAGGCATTTGAAGGTGAGGTCCCGGTGGTATGCCTAGCCCTGCCCTACCAGGTGAAGGTCGAAATTGCTCGTTTCATCCTTCTCTGCCCACTTGCTCAGATGGAATTCCGTGCAAAGGTTGACGGTGAAGTCACTTGCTCTGACGCATCATCTTTTGGGGGAGGAATGTGTGCATCCAAGGGGCTTAGTGAGTTTGGCCATGCGGCCCTCAATTCGGTCTGCAGGGGTGATCTTCCCGAGGAACATGACCTCGTTCAGGTTCTTAGTGTAGGACTGTTCGATGGCATAGGTGCTTTGAGGGTGGCATGCGATGTGCTAGGTTTGCCAATGGCAGGTCACGTTAGCATTGAACAGAACCCGCAGTGTCAGAGAGTGGTTGAAAGTTTTTTCCCAGAGTGTGACTTTTTTGATGATGTCTGCAGCTTTGGGGAGGAGGAAATCCTACAGCTTTCCCTCAAATACAGCAATGTGGGTCTGGTCCTTGTGGGGGCGGGCCCGCCTTGTCAAGGGGTCTCAGGGCTTAACGCCAGCAAGCAAGGGGCACTGAGAGATGCACGTAGTTGTCTGTTCCAAGAAATTCCACGTGTCACAGCTTGTTTCAAACGTATTTTTCATTGGGCACAAGTGCATGAGCTGGTTGAAAACGTGGCATCCATGTCGGAGGCGGACAGGAGCATCATGAGCAGTAGGTTCGAGCGGTTGCCATTCCGTATTGACTCACGTGAAATCTCCTTGTGTTCACGACCAAGGTTGTACTGGGTGAGCTGGGAACTAAGTAATGGTCAAGGTGCGGATGTTCAACAGCCTGAGGGAAGCTCCTGGTCAGCCTACGGGAGTGTTCATCTCACAGGCGAAATCGAGACCAAGTCATTCTTGCATCCAGGTTGGAGCCTCATGGAAGGGGGCTACTTGCCTACTTTCACCACCTCAAGGCCCCGTCCCAGTCCAGGCCGCAGGCCAGCGGGCCTAGAAGGATGCCAGGAGCATGAGAAGCTTCGATGGAAGCATGATAGTTTTCGGTTTCCACCTTACCAGTACAAAGACGTCAACGGCCTTTGGAACAAGAAAGGCGAGTGGAGGCGACCCGATTCGGTTGAGAGGGAGGCATGCATGGGGTTTCCTGTGGGATACACCAAAAATTGTGTCCCCAAGGCCCAGCAACAAGGAGTAGGCTATGAAGACATTAGGCTTACGCTTCTCGGCAATTCATGGCACGTAGGAGTAGTTGCGTGGCTGTTGCAGCAGTCAACAACGCCCCTAGGCTTGTGCAAGGTTGTGACCTTGGAAGAGCTGTTGAAAGTGCTGACGCCAGGCCAGGCCATAGATTTCTCCAGCATGCTGACACGACCTCCTCTACATGGACGCCTAGGGTTAGTCAGGGAAGCTGATACAGTGCGATTGGTCAAGAAGCTCATTGGGCAATCTTCAATGAAAGGTGAGGATTTAATGATCCAAAGCGGGAGTGACCCAGCTCCTAGGTATTTTCGATTGCGTGCTAGTGTACCTGGACGGTTATGGAAATGGCGTGAAATCAGTGGGTGGAGATGGAAGCACTCAGGCGAACACATTAACGCCTTGGAGCTCCGAGCCATTCTGACCAGTGTCAAATGGAAGATTTGGCGATGCAAACGAGTTGGGATGCGTTTTTTGCACCTAACTGACAGTTTGGTGTGCCTTCATGCCCTCACGCGTGGTCGTAGTTCAAGTCGCCGCCTTAGACCCATCATTATGCAGCTGAATTCCTACTTGCTTGCTGCCGACCTGCATCCCCTCTGGGGATACATCCATACGTCCCTGAACCCTGCGGATCGCCCCAGTAGGCGGCCGCTGCGAAAGAAATTGCTAAAGTAAAGGCTCGGGTTCTAGAAGGTCGTAGCAAGGAAGCTAGGAAGCAACAGCGCAAGGCTCTGGGGCCTTTGAAGGGTCTGACCGTTTCAAGTAAGACACAAGCACGCTATAAGAATGCCAGACAACGCTTCTATGATTTTTTGCACCAAAATAAGCTTCAGATTCCCAGCAAACGTGATCTGTTTGACTCCCTTGTTTCTGAATATGTTGAGTTCTTGTGGTCAGAGGGCGAGGGGCGAGGCCTTGCCGCTGACACGATCGCCGGTTTACAGGACCTCGATCCAAAGCTTAAAGGGCATTTGCAGCAAACATGGAGATTGATGAAAACTTGGACCACTCAGGAAATCCCAAATCGAGCACCGCCTCTGCCCGAACAAGCGGTGTTTGCCATGGCCGGATGGGGATTTTTTCATGGACACTTCAGTTTTTCGGTCTCTATTCTTGTTTGCTTCTATGCTATGCTAAGGACAGGCGAGGTTCTCGGCATTCGGAACTCAGACATTAGCATGAACTCCCCCACTTCACCTGCGGTTATTAGCTTAGGCTTGACCAAGGGTGGCAAGAGAACTGGTGCAGCTGAGTCTGTCACTTTGACGGCAGCGGTTGCCCTCAAGTGGTTATGGCACTGGAAGTGTCAGAACGGGCCTCGAACGTCGCTGTGTCCCTCTGCCTCCGTTTGGCGAACCATGTTTAAACGTTGTCTCAGCCTCTTCGAATTCAGGCCATACTCGCTACGGCGAGGTGGATCGACGTTTTGGTTTTCCAAGCACGGGAGTCTCGACCGACTCCTGATTGCTGGACGTTGGCAGGCAGCACGCACGGCTCGGATCTACATCAATGAAGGGCTTTCAGTGCTAGCCGAGTTACATTTGCCCCATAAGTCCCTCCTCCCTTTTTCCCGTGTGTTTCACTCTCAGTCCACACCCCCGGAAGCATCACACTTGAGCGCGCGCACAAAGCGCAGAAAAGGGGGACGTGGAAAGGGTGGGGGGCAGGTTTTATTTCCGTTTTTATGGGTAGCTGACTTCATGTTTTAAGAAATTACCTGGCTCCGGGCTCTCGGTATGGCGAGGGGCCCGGGGGAGGTATAGGGAGGCAGTTCGGTTCCTCTGGTCTGGCGAGGTTCTGAACTGTCGTGTCCCTGAGGTTTGGAAACCTCGGTTCACATGAGGGTGAACAAGAAGTCATGCTACTCTTTCAGTTTTCCACAAGAGACTTTAAATTCTTGACTCAACTGCGGAGCGCATTGAAAAGGACCAAGCGAGTTTTTATATATAGAATTATATATAGAGAGAGTGTGTTGCAAGTAGTGTTGCATATAGTATTATATAAAACAGTATAAAACAGTACTGTATCATTTATATATTTATATACATACATATATATATATATATATTTATCACCAGGCGGCTTTTGGATCTTTAGCCTCGGGCGTTCCGAACCGAGCTCCGACCGGCGTGCCGAACCCCTCGGGGCGTGGATCACGTCCCGTCATGGAGTTGTCCGATTACCTCCCCACGGAGCACGGAGTGCCATCAAGTCCCACGGTGGGGAGGGATGAGACAGAGGAGCCGCAGGAGCCAGGAGTCGAGCAAGCTGCACTAATGGCCAGGCAGATGAGGTTGCAGAGCGCACTGGTGGAGGCAGAGAGGGAGGAGAAGGCACAGTCGCTGAAATTGAAGTCCTTGAAAGAGGAGCTGTTGGCCGAAGAGGAGAGGCAGGAGGTGCAAAACACCGACAGCAAGAAACACTGAATACTGGTACGGGGAAAGTGAGAAGGCCAACGGGGGCTGACGCTGGGGAGCGTTGCATTCGATTGATCTTACAGCAGTTTAGCAGCATGTCAGACAATTTAGATCATTTTAAACCCCCTTCAAACTGTGACTTGGAACTGATGATGGGACAGGCGCCCAAGGGTGGTTCGCAGGGATCCCTGTTTGCGCTGCTGCATTGGTTGTGACTACCCTAGGAAAAGAAGATTTAGACGCTCTGTCATTGACAAAAGATGACATGAAAAAAGGCTCTCGGAGCGCAAAAAGAGCAACAGGTTAGGGCGGTGCAACAACTATGATGACCTGCACAAGGAGGGTATAGGCCCTGAGATCCGGCACCGAGCACCGCTGCCACCGGCCGGCGCGTACAATTCGTAGAATCGGCAGCGAATCGGCAGCGAGTGGCACCCTTGAGAGGATCCGGAACGGGGTACTGGCCATGGTTGGCGGAGATAAGATATCCCGAACTCACCAGGCCCGTTGGGAAACCGCGGGGAGAGACAAACCTTAAGCTTGACTCCAATGTGTTGTCCCTCCCACCACAGGCCGTGCCCCAGGTAGTTCTAACTGATCCCGTTCGAGTTCGAGTTCAAGTTCGCCAGGCGGCCAGGCAGCACCTGCAGCAGCAACCAAGCACTCAACCACCCAACCTTTCCAACCATTCCACCAGCCAACCTGCCAAAGTCGAGTGGCAAGACAGCTTTGGACCAGTTTCAAGACAAGCCATGCGGCATACCCTAGTGGAAACAGCTGTTCCGTAGAGCGGGGACCAAAAAAACACCTTCTTTGCAATCTGTGCAATCCTTTGATAGGAAGCACTTGGTGTCGGCCAGTGTCAAGGATCGCTAACCGATGTCTCATGCCAGTCCCATGATGTCTCATGCCTCAGACAAAACCAGCAGTCGGTGGCTGAGACTTGGGTATAAGAAAACCCGCTCCCTGAGAGGCAGACGTTCCTGCGGGCGGTGCTGGAGCGGCTTCGTGCAGGAGGTGCAGCTCACCGCTTGGCTGAACAGATGGCACTGCAGCGGTGGGAGGCTGCGAAGAGAGCTCAGGACCGATGCGATGCGAAGGGAGCAACATCTGAAACCTCATGTCCCAGACCACCCATGTATGGAAGATATACTGTATTACTAATGAGTCACTATTATAATATAGTTACTTACATTGGGGTCACAAATGGGGTTAACACGGGTTAACATGTAATAACTATATATATATATTATATACGCACCTATATATATATATACCCTGAGAGTCAAAGACTATAAAAAGAATTAAAAAGAATGGTCTTTAGGTGACCCGAAAAGGAATAACCTTTACTTCAGCCGGTCAAAATATAGTCTTTGGACTTCTAGGGTATATATACCTAGATCTTCAGTCCGGCACTTTTACAGGGTCCGGCGCCGGACTTCCAACTCCGGCGTTTTTCTGGATTTGGTCCGGCGCTTTTTCCAAGTCACTTTATGTGGATTCTCAAGGCTTTGCATTTTTTGTGGTCTGCATTTCTATGAAGTTAAACCCACTACTGATGCAATGATTTTGTTTGCAAAGTGTGCTCGCTTGCCTGTTCCGCTGTTTTCTCATTCCACCGGTTTCAGCATGGTTCACACTGGATCAATCAGATCCGTTTAGCTGATCTTCTAAATGAAGTCGGATGAAGCCGGTACAGTGCGATGCACCTGTCGAAAGACCCAAGTGGGTGCACCTAAGCTGAAAGAGCATAGGCAAAAATGTACAGTACTCCCATTTTTTCAGGATGTCGGGGCGCTTCTAGCTGCGCAGGTTTGCAGAGCCTGCCGGACACGTTTTGGGCTGTGGAACATGTGTTGTTCAGAATCTCAATGTTTTGCAGAGAGTTGTCAAAAAATTGCACATCGTAACTCCGGCGTAATTTCCCGTAATTCCGGCGTAATTTCCCGTAACTCCGGCGTATTTTCCCGTAACTCCGGCGTATTTTTGTTGGACTGATCGAGTGTTCTGCAGGCTTTGATTGTGAACAGTTTTTCACAGAAGAGTTTTGACAGGGACCATGAGTTCTGCTACTTTATTGGGGGGCCGTCCTGAGGCAAGCTTTAAAGAAACATTAAGAAGCATGAGAATCATGAAGAGCAACCCACTTTGTAAAAAAACACTTGAGAGACACGGTTGCAGAGAAAGAGGGGTTCCTTGCCACATACTCCTTGGTTTTTTTCTTGGAAGTCTTTGCTTGGGCACAAGTTGCTTATATTTTGTGATTTCTGCTCTTAGGCCATTCGGAAGATGGGCGAGGGCAATGGGAACGGGAAGGTTCGAGTGTGCTCCAGAAAAACTACTCGCAGCGCAAAGGCAGTTTGCTTGTGTATGGTCCAACCTTTTATCATCCCTGTTTTTCAGAATCTTGGATCCGGATGTTTTTTCAGGTCTCCGGCGTTTTTTTCGGAATCCGGCGGAAAATTTTGCCGGATTGAGGTCCGGCACTTTTTTCCGCCCAAAGGAGGATCCAGGTATATATATATATGTGCGAGTGCAACTATTCAATACATGGACGGTTTGGGTGTGGTTTCAGCTGGTTTCTGGAGGGAGGTACTCCCGACGCGGGTCGGACGCTTTCAATCCGAGAGGGAGCCCGAGCTAGAGATGGTTCCTGATCAAGCCCAGGTAAAGATCATTGAAGGCCTTGGTTGAATTTGTATAGTCAGCTGAAGTGTTTTTTTCTGATTTTTATCGTCAGTTGCAATTTCTTTAATATCACATGTCACCCGCAGGTTCATGGCCCTGATTTCGGATGATCCGAATATTCCGAGGACCAAACAGGTGGTGATGGTCCACTCTCAGTTCCATGATTAGATCATGGCAGCCTATCTAAATCCAAGAAAACATGAAGAGCATTGAAAAAAGAACGAATCCCCCGTAGCGAAAATCGGAGCAAGACCTGAAGTCCTCATATATTTTCCTCACCAGGAGGAGCTGCTCTCGAACCAGCCCGTGCTGTCCGCCTTGGGGGCCGAACTCCAGGTCCGACTCGCTGTGCACCACGTTGGTGGCGCCAGCCATCCGGGCTGTGCTGAGGATGGGGCTCCGACTCTTGGGCGGATCCGTCCCTTCCACAAAGATCCATCAATCAATCAGAACTGAATTCCACACACACATTGAAACCTGACTGCTGAGTGTTTTTTTACCCTCCCTTTTGTCCGGAGCACCTCCACCCACTGGAGAACAGCATGGTAATTCAGCAGCATGGGTCTCGCATGGTCTAGCCTAACTTAAGTGCAACTGCATATATGGTGTTTGAAAGAATGTTTGCTTCCCCGCCCTTCTCACAGGTCTTTTGGGGGTTCCTAAGGCTGTTGCATGAGGAGCTATCAAAGCTTCAGAGAGAGATTGCTGAAGAAGGACGGCATCAAGAGCAGCTGAGCTTCACTGCTCAAACGCTTGAAGCGGAACGCCAGTGGTTCAGCTCGAAAGCTCCAAAAAAAGAGCCCGGCGGGGTGGCGTGATATGGCGTGATGGCGTCAACCACTCACGGTACGTGGGGTCGTTGGGTTCGGTGGAAGCTTCGGGGTCTTCCACCGGCGAGTCTGATGTGACCCCCCCAAACGGACCATCCACGATGGCGTCGGGAGGTGACCTGGGCGTCCTGCGACCGGCGACCGGTCGCGACTGGGTCCTCCAGCAGTCAACGACCGGGTGCTACGGAGCGTGTCACTCGGTACCGGTTTTCTCCCGGCGACGTCGTACGGAACTGTGTGCTACGTCCCTGTCCCTGTCTGGTCCATTGGCTGGCTAGAGTCGGAGAGTTTGGATCACGGCTCCGCCCAAACCCAGCTCCAAAGACCTGGTGGGTCTGCGGCACCTGGTGACACGAGACCTTTTTTGGTGTGGTTTACGAGGGTTCTTCGCGAATTGCCACTGGCCCATTGGCGTGCAGGCAGAAGCTCCCAAGGACCGGGAAAGCCAAAAAATGGCAGGGAGGAGGAGGGCAGGAAGCGGGAGCGGGTTTCGAGCAAAAAATGAGGGGTTCAGCTGCGTTGAGGGGTTCAGCTGCGTTTTTTTACACTGACCAGTCCAGCGACCCCCTTTTCCAAGGAAAGGTGGAATTACAGTAAGGGACACATGTTCTCCCTAGATTCCCTGGCAGTTGATCAATGGGTTCACTCACAAAAGGACCAACATGATGGCTTCGATTTGTTGTTGTACAGGAACCTGTAAGAAATATCTCCCCAAGGGGGTTCACCACAGCAGGGAAAATATTAATCACCCTAGGCAAGGCAGGGTAGGCCAGGCTGGTCAATTTGGAAGAAACGACCAATTGCCCGACCTGACGGTCGAGTCCCCACCATGAACTGCAAATGATTGGATCTGCACCGAGAGGTCTCTTAGGGTTGGTTTGTTTGCCCCAGCTACATCCTACCCATTCCCTGACATTCCAGGTGCACTCAAGCTAGCGTGAATGCCGAAAACCAAAAACAATCGAGTGGACTATTGGGCCCTGTAAATAGTTCTAAATCACCCTATAAGATTGTGCGGATTGTGCGCCTAAATGTTTGTTTGGCTAATGCGCAACTATAAAGCAAGATGTGTAGGAATAAACCTCCAACATCAAACTCAACCTGCGGCAAACACCCAACAAACAAAGGCCTCCAAAACATATCAACTGGGTTCCATGTCTATGACCTTCAACTTGTCTTTGCGATAGCCTATGAGAAGGTTCGATGGGGTTGTGGGGTCTAATTATACCTTCTCAGGATGGTTGGAGTTTTTAGGTTGATAATTATGGAAGAACTCCACCCATGTCGACGCAGGCAGACCTCCAAAGACCCCCTGGAAGAAGATGGAAGAAGGACAATAGACAAAACACCGTTGTCAGTTCTGTGAGTCTGACCGAACTTCTCATGCACCAGCCAAGCCATTCGGAATCGAAACATGTTGCGGCGAACCGAGCGGCAGGCCCGAACCGAGCGGCTGGACAGAGATTCTTCTAAGATTTTTCACCAATGCCCGGGAGTAATGACCGAACGGGGGTTGAACCATATATATAGCACAGCTTAGTCAGCCCGCGGGGATGTGAATGAGACAATCAGTTCGATGAAATCAGTGGCCCTGTGGGCCTATGTACACATGACCCAGACACTCCATGTATGCATATGTATGCTATATATGCCTACAGATGCCTACAGTGCCTACATTAACCCCCAAAACCACCCCAATGTAGGGATGAAACTCGAGGATCGATATCGCTTTTGTTTTCGACCTCGACAGAACATGCAGAGACCCGACGGTCGGGGATTGGAGACAGTGTTGTTCTCGTGGAGGAGTCTGTTGCGATGATCCGGTGTTCTTCCTTAGAACCCTAGATGTAACACTGGATGTAATGTATTTGTAGTTGATTGTTTGATGATCCGGTGATGACCATTTCTTATACTGTAATGTAACACTGGAACGGTGACAATTGTTTCGGACTGGTCATAAGATGGTCAGAAGGCGGAGCAATTTACGGGATGTGAAGCTTTCGCTGCAGAAAATACGTTCTAGGGGAATTGCTCGGAAAACAGCAGTTCAGAGCACTGAGTACTGGTATGTTTTGATGTTCACATTAGAAGATTTTCAGATGGGTAGGCGGCAGGTGACATCATTCTCGGCATATATATGCAGGTGAGAAACCGTTACATATATATATATATGTGAAGCGGCTCATGAACGCGGTTTTCCAACCAACCCTAGGGGCACTTGATCTAATGTTCGCGGAATGGCTGAACAATGAAATTTGCACTCCCCCCCATTGGTAGAGGGTGAGCAAGAGCCTGGAGGAAACATTGGATCAAACCAAACCGCACACAAAAGAGGAACCGACAACCAAAACATTAGGAGTCCTTGTCGTTCTGTTGTTGTTGCTTTTGTTGGGTTGCTTGCTGTTCAAGTTGTTTGTCTTGTGGTGGGTGTGTATGTTGTGTGTCCTCGATATCGACGAGCTTAAGTCCTGCTGCTCTGCGCTTCTTCTGGGACGCTCGAACTTCATCATGTCGAATCCTCCATCTTTGTCCAAGTTGTAAGTACAGCCAGCCTTGACCTTTCTCTGAGGTCTTTGTCAAAACATTGGCTAACATGCCTCCTCCATCGACCCAGCATATTTCCACATCGCCCTTCAACAGGTTTTGTCTGAGACTCATGGCCTCAATGCCGGATCTTTTTTCTGGGCCTTTCACAGAGGGTGTGGCACGAACCAACTTGTCAAAAAGGTTCTTTGCATCCGTAATGAAAAGCCCCTTGACTTGTTTTGCTGTGCTGTCCACATCTCTTGTATTGACTACCTTGCCCTGCATTTCCGCCCACAAGAAACGTAAAAAGGTGAGGTCGTCTTCTCCGTCCAGGCCAGCCATGCATTCAGCGCTTGCCGGAGATCGACAGATCCTATCAATCTTACCGGACCGCCAATGAACTGCTGTTACTCGAGCTTCTTGACCTTCCCTCAGATGTCTTGTGGTCATCCCCACGAAGATGCCCTCCGTGGAGTCGAGGCCATTTGGCCGATTGGCATGGGCAGCATCTGTCCAGACTGCTAACTCTAGCTCTTCCTTTGGGTCGAAGGCGTGCACTCTGTACACCTGGTCTGCAGTCTTTTTGATGTGTCTGATCAACTTGTTGGTCTCGTTGATGTCTGACACGGTGCTTGTTGGTACCTTTGTCAGTAAAATGTTCACATCAACAGCAAAAATGAATACTGTCTGACCTGTCAGCCATGACAATGAACCCAAAGCTCCTCTCAACATGGTCTTCTCATGATCTGTTGTGGGACTTTCTGTCACCCTGCTTCTATCTCTCGACAGTCGAATCTCCTCCAAGTCGTTGATGAACTTGGATTGTCGCATGTCAATGCTGTAGTCTGGGTTCTGTTGTATTTCAATGCCACATTGAACAAAACACTGACTCTCCCAGGTTCCCCACTTGAACCGTGTCTTCAATGCTTGTATCAGGCCTTGATGTTCTGCACAACCTGCGGCACCTGCGAACAAGAAATCGTCCACATGGGCATGGACTGCACTTCTCACCACTCCGGCTTTGTCAGTCCAAATCCAACAGCATGGTTCCACCTCCAGTTGTCTGTAGCCCAAAGTTTGTAGATACTTGTTGACGCTTTTGTGCCAATGCAAGGGTGCTTGAACTAGTCCGTACGCTGCCTTCTTCATGAGCATCACGGAGTCGTCTGCCAAGCCATAGGCTTGAGTGATTTCCTTGACGGGACGACACCAGATTTCTTCCTCCAAATCATCTCCTTGAAGGAATGCTCCAGAAATGTCTCCCTTCTCTAACACCCACTGTCGCCAAGCTGTCATCTGCAAAAATAGCTGACGCCCTGCTCTTGACGGTGTTGGTGCTGCGGTAGGCCTTTCTGAGTACCTTGGATCTTGGTATCCCAAAACGATTGCTCTCGCCTTGGCCTTTTTGTTGTTGTCATCATCAATTTTCCAACTCAACAACCATCGCATGCCCACCACCTTGCTTTCATCCACATGTTTGCGCGCTGCTTCAAAACACTCCGAAGCCACAAAGTTTCTCACCTCCCTTTGTTTCGCTTGAATGAATTGAAGAACCTCTTCTTTGGTCAGTTTCTTCTCATTCACCTCAAGCTGTTTCTTCCGCATCATGCTACATATGTAGGCTTCTGGGTTGTCTGAAAACTTTTTCCAACCACGTTTGGATGTAGGCATGTCAATGTGCACTTCGATGGCCTGTAAGTTGTCCTCAACCGCATAGAAGGCCTCCATGTCTATCTCTGCTTGATAACCCCGGTGACCTGATGAGGGTCCACCCGGATTCTCAGGAGATGGTTCAGCTGGTAACATCTCCCAATCACTGTCCTCTGTCTCCATGGGTTCAGTCATCGTTTTCCTCTTCTTTTCAGCAAGTCGTTCAACTTCTGAGGGCTCGTTGTGGTCACCTTGGCAATCCTCCTTGGTAATCCCTCGTGGTTGGTCTTGAGGGTATCTGACCAGCGGTCCCTTCTCTGTGTGTCGTCTGGTAGGTGCTTCGCCTGTACTGTTGTCTCCTCCTATGGGTAATTCAGCTGCCTGTTCCCATTGTCCTTCAGTTGGTCTCTCCTGGGAGATGTCGAGGAATGTCCGTCGTTTTGGGTCTGTTGCAATAGATGTGATGGTCCATGGTAGTTCAACCGGTCCTTTCAAGGTCTCCAACTGTTGTTCATAGCTTGATGCAGGCCTTAACTGCTCTGGAGCTGCCCGCAACAATCTGCCTGCTCGATGAAGCCACACAATGGACCCGGGTCTCAAATTTCCTTCTGAGTCTTTTCGTGTCTCTGTTGCCAAGACACGAGCTGGTCCCAAAAATCTGCCAACTGATTGTGTTGTTTTGTCCTTCAATGGAACTTGGTTTCGCCAGTAGTATACCAGGTCCCCTGGAACATAGTCCACAACGCGGCGAGTCCCACTGCGTTGTGCTCTTTCTAGTCGTCT